TTCTCCTTCTTTCTGGTGTTCTTTATTCTTTTATATAGATCAATATTGCCACTTGGTGTCATTTTCCTTCTGCCTGAAGGACTTCTTTTAACATTTCTTGTGCGTAGATGCTTTGGGTGATGAAGTATTTTTTTAGGGTCTGAAAACTTCCTTATTTCACCTTCAGTGGGCCCTGTCTGAGTACTGTTCACTGCCCCTCTCATCTTTTGAGGTGATTCTTTCCCTAGACTACAATCATTTCTTCATACCCATGTCCTGGCCATATTCTGCTGAACACTCTGCATCTCTCCTCTGTGCAGCTTTCTCTTCTCCAGCACTCTGCTCTGCAAATTAGAGCAATCTCCGCTAGCATTAGAGATTTTCTGTGGACCCTGGGTCCTGCCCCACCCCCACCACTCAATTTCTTGAAAACTGTCTCAAGGAAGTAAACTGTTCACCTACTTTCTTCTTGTCTTTTAGGGACGCTGTCCTTCATCATCTTATATCTGGTGTCTTTAATTTTTCCTTTAATTTTTTTCTTTTACATATTTCAGATGGAGGTTAAATCTGGTCCCCGTTACTTCATCTTGTCTGGAAGTGGAAGTCTCTCTATTGGCTGTAGTTTTAATGTCAGCTTTTTTATATTCCATTTTTAAAAATTTTTTAAAGTTTTGTCTTTGTTTCACCACTGCCTCGGCTGCTTTCACCTCCTATAGTCCTTTGGTCTAGTAAATTTTCATTTGTTCTAATGAGCTGCAGTATGGGGATAATTGTACCTTCTCTTCAAAGAGCAGACAGTTGATTTGCTTTAATGCTCACTGAAGCAATCTGTTTTCCTACCTTTTTTGCGAGTTGCAAAATCTTTGTCCTTGTCCTCTGGAGCTTCCACAAGTAATTATAAAGCAAAATGAAAGGTTTTTTTTTTTTTTTTTTTTTCCAACTAACCTGTGTCTACTGCTTTGAACTCTGCTAAAGCTCTTACTTGTATTTATAAGTAATTTTTTTTTGCTAATTAATAGCAGCCTGCTAACTCCCTCAACCTTATAGTTCTTCTAAACTTTTCCCAACTCTCAGTAAATTGAGAAAAGATTATGAATGTATGAAAATTCCTCACTCCCCTCTCTCACCTTATGTCTTATTTGCCTCTTTCTTGCTTCTGAGTGCATTGAGCTTTTCGGTGGATTTGCCATTAAAATTCCTAGAGGCAGTCTGCTGGAACAAATGATATCTTGATGTCCCTTATAGTTCTACAAATCTAAATTTTAATAACCGTCATCATTCTAGTACTTTCCTTTGCTAAGAAAGAGGTGGTGGGTAAATTGTGCGAGTGACAGGACTATCAAGAGTTGCAGTAGGGCTGTTTCTCTATTTTGTAAAGATAGCATTTCATCACAGTTATGACATTGTTACTATGTAGCTCCTCCAGGATCATAGAATATTAAAGACTTTTCCAGGCATCAAAATCAGATCTTGAGTACAAAAGTAATTTTAGAAATGATATACATATTACTAATTTATAAAAGGATAGTTTCTTCAGTTTAAAACATTTCTTGATTTATAAAAATGCAACTATAATTTCTTCACTATAATGTTGTGATTTTTGTGTCACAAGTAAGCTTTACAGGGTTTAATAGTGTCTTGAGTAAATCATAATAATAATTATATATCAGTGAAAAACTTAAATTGATACTTTATAATAAGTTTTACACTAGTGGGATAGTCTTCACTATCTACTAGGTTAGCTTTCTTATAGGATTATTGTATTAAATGTTTACACATTTTATAAAAAAAATTATGATCAGCCATGTTTGTGTATGTATCAGTTAATGATTTATGATTAATATGATTAAAAGAAAAAGTACAGCTTCATTTCTTCTCATTATGAGTGTATCTTTATGTGCAACTGCAATTTAGAATAGTATTAAAATAATCTAGTTTGGCGCTAAATATTTTTCTTACATATAATTATTTTTAATTATATATTTTGTGAAACATTTACATAGGAAAAGATAAATGCAGAATACTACAATGATCACTTACATTGTTTCACTGCTCTTATTTAGTTAAAACAACATTCTGTGATATTAATAAATATTTAATACTGGGATTTTTAATGAACCTCAACAATATCCACATTTGACCATATTTATATTCAGGCTTTGCCAAGATCCCTTTAATTTTAATATGCTATGAGCCTCATAGTGTTATACTATTAAAGGATTCACATTTAGTCTGCAATTGGAAGGGAATTAATAAAATATTAAAAACACAGGAAAAACATGATAAAGGTAGGCATAACAGTACATTTTCACCAGTAGACATATCTGTCTCCATGGAAAACAGAAGCATAAAGGTAAGATTGCTCTTAAACATAGAATCAGAGCAAGGACACTTAATGAGATAATCTTGATGGCTTCTGTCATTAAGATGTTTTACCTTGGTTTATCTTTTTTTTTAATATTAAATGTAATAATTTACGTAATTTATTATTAGTTTCTTTTTTTTTTATTTTAGTGTATTATGGGGGTACAAGTGTTAAGGTTACTTATATTGCCCATGCCCCCCTCCCCCCTCGAGTAAGAGCTTCAAGCATGTCCATCCCCCAAACGTTGCACATCTTACTCGTTGTAGTTGTATATACCCCACCCCTTCTCCCCCCTTGACCTTGGTTTATCTGATTCCTGACAGGGAAGACCTACTGCACATTCCAGAGAATGCTATCCATAGGCAGGGACATTTGCTCCTGTGTACAGTATTGGAGTTTTACTATAAAATTTGAACCCTGCTCTTTCTCCTGTTATCCATCCTTTAAAACTATAGCACCTGAAATCCACTAAGAAAAATAAAAAGCAAATTATCAATTACCTTCTGAAATTTAACATGGTATATTTTGACTATGCTTAGTAGAAGCAGATTTAACCTAGATTGACCAAAGAATTAATTTAAAAATTGAAAGTTTTCTATATAATTATTAGAGATGAAACCTACCAAGTTTTCTTTTTTTCTCTGTTGGTCTTTGTTGCAAACCTGGGCCCCCTTCCTTCCATCATTGCAGCATAAAGAATGTAAGAGAACAGGAAAGTAGCATTGGTAACATTTTCAGTTAGAGCAAGATGCATTTAAAGTGAAGCAATAGCATTTCTGCTAATCTTTCAACAAAATTCTACTCTCTAACACTGTAAGAGTGAAGATTTCTCCTTAGACAGTATAAATTTAAGTGCATGATGATTATGCCACTTTGATTTAGATAGTACAGTTTGAATTTGTTAATTCAAAGCTGCAAAATAATCTTAAACCATGATTGTGTGTAACCATATCTTATCAAAGCAAAATTTGCTGGTTGGGTATGTTACTTCATATTCCATAGATAAAATGCTGATCAAAGTGAATACCTACTTTGAGTCCATTTCTGTTGAAAGAAGGCCTTGGAAGATTACATACCACACTTAACTTGGATATCTGTAAAATCTGAGGTATCCAGAGCAGCATTAATATTCTAAACCTCATAAATATCACTGGAATAGGAGTTTGATCTCTTAGAATTGCTATGCAGTTATTCTAATTGACAGGGGTAGACTGTAGTAATTAAAAGATAGAAAATGCAAAGTTCAGGGAAGAGACCTGGCTAGGAGAGTTGAATTCAAAACCTTAACAAGTGGTAGGTCACTTATTAGCTGTGTGATTTGGGGAGAGTTACTATCCTCTCCACGATGCGGTTTCCTTAACATCTAAAATGTAGATGATAATAGCAACTGCTTTTGTAAAAATTAATAATGGGGCACATAGTAGACATTTGAAATGTTAGTTCCTACTGTTATTCTTTTCCCATGTTCTACAGGAGTCTACATGTTCTAGTCCAGTCTACAACTTTTTTGAAGGGAACAGGAACAGAATGCATGCCTGTTCAAAGATACATATTTTGTATCTCAATCCCTCAACCCAGCAAACACAGCATATGTAATTGAAACAAAAGTTTCACAAAATAGTATTTACTTACCATACTACGTGCCATGTACTTTGTATTATTAATTATTGTCCCTCTCCTATTAGAACTGAAGTGCCATAGGGTAGGGGTGTTGGTCAGTTTGGCTTCACTTGTGTACCGCCAGAACCTAGATCAGTGGTTGGCACCCAGGAAATAATTTTTTTTGAGGGAGGATGAATGAATGAATGAACAAATGGTTAACTATCACACAATGGTGTTGTTTTCAAAGTGTTTTTCTTATTTATTCCACAAGCAGAAGTTATTTATATAATTATCAGCATTGTTGATCTTAAACACATGATATGTAGCAGAGAGACTGCCCTATATATATTTTTAAAGTTTCTTAATTTCTATTCCTTCCGTTTAGGGGAAGTAAAACCAAAAAGGTGGTTATATTGTTGTTAATTGTGCTGGTGATGGAGGCGGCGGGGTGGATTTCTGTTTCTAAGGAGGACGACCAGTAAAAGTCTTATCAAGACGCTCTGGGATCCAAAGTATTATTACCTGTGGCTGCTTGATCCTTGGAGTCCAGAGCTAGCCTGGTTTGGTAAGCAGCAAGGGAAGAAACCCGCAGAATATTTTCTTAAAGGATCCCCTGATGCAACTGTTTACAGTTTTCATGTCAGGACCCAGGGGGAGCTTTGGGCCACAGCCTACTACATTCTATTCATTCCCAGTACCTGGGCTCAGGCAAAAAGCGTGGCGGGCTGCGGGGGCGCAGGATCTGAGCAGCCGGGCAGCCGTGGAGCTCAGATTCCGACAAGGACTGCGGGCTGAGCATTCTCGCCGCCTCACCTGGCCGCCGCCGGGTCGCACGCCCACGCTGGTCCGCCCCAGCGGCGACAGGTGAGTCGCAGCCGCGGGCAGAGCACACAGCCTGGGGGGTGGGGGGTCGACGCCCGCGCCCGGGGCAGCCCGGAGCTGGAGTAGCAGGGTCGGGGCGGCGGAGGGAGAGGGAGGGCAGGGAGGCGGGAAGTGTTCCCGCACGGGGGCGTTGACACCTGCCCGGGGGAGGAGCCAGAGAGGAACCTGGCTACTTGCTGCTCCGAGGCACCGGAGTCGGGAGAACCCATCCCGACCATGAAGGGCGCCAAAGGCATTGAGAACCCGGCTTTCGTCCCTTCCACCCCAGACACCCCGCGCCGCTCGTCTGCGTCGCCGTCCCAGGTGCAGGTGTCTGCCTTGTCCTCCGTGCCCCAGACAGAGCATTCTCGGCCCCAGGAACCCCGGGAGCCCCAGGAACCCCAGAAGTCGCCGGAGCCACCTCTGCCTTCAGCAACTGCCCCCGTCTCCCCGGAGCAGCCCGGGCCACAGCCGCTGTCCGAGTGTGAGGAGGGGCCTTGCGGATGGAGGAACTTCCACCCCCAGTGTCTCCAGCGTTGCAACACGCCCCAGGGCTTTCTGCTTCACTACTGCCTCTTGGCCCTCACGCAAGGTACAGTCCGGCGCCCGCTCGCGCGGTCGGGCCGGGCGCGGCGAGCCGGGAGCGGGCAGGTGCGCGGGGAGCCCCGGGCGCGGTCTCGGCCTTGCGCCCTTGCGCCCCGCGCGCCCTCCCGACCCGGCCCCCAGACCCGCGTCTGCCCCCCACACCTCAGCCTCTCCTTTAGGGCAGCGTTTGAAACTTGCCACACAAGCTTCTCTACCCTGCCCCCTTTTGTGGTCTGCCTCATTTTAGCGGATTCCAATTCCCCTCCAGGGTCTTAAGATTACCAGAACTTTCCTTCGGGAAAAGTATACCCTGGGGGAGCTTATTTTACAGGATGAAAGCATACCTTTCGCTGAATCCCTTGTTAAAGGGATTTGTTTTCACGTTGTATCTGCGGGCGACGGATTAATACATTCGCAGATGGGAGTAGGATGTTTCTCAAAGGAGAAAGCTATTTGAAATCCGTAGTGTAGATTAGATAGAAGCAGTCACTTTTTTGTGTGAGTTTGAGAGAACGTGGGCACTAGGGGAGCCGCCCGGTGAGTAAATTAGCGAAGGCTTCCCGCGTTGCCGGAGGGTAAGCCTTAATTAGTTGTTCAGTCACGGTAGTTTTTCAGTATCTGTTTTGTTCTGGGTAGGATCTCTTTTTGGATTCTTCTGGGAGTTGCAGATTAAGTTCAGGTTTATACCCTTAGGAGGTTGCCATCTAAGTCGAGTTTGGAGGAGTGAGGGATACGGTGGAGGGAGAATGGTTCTCTCGGTAGAAATAGAAAAGGTAAAAGCTGCTAGCGTGTTAATACACCCCAATACAGGGGATGAAAGAAATGGGAAGTTACATCAAGGTGACAAATTGAAGAGGGGTGGAGCTAAGGGGAGTGTCTCGAAGGACATGCTGAAGGTTAGTTTGAATTGGCATGCACCTATTTTTCGGTCACTCGAGTCATAGTCTCAAATTATTATGTAAGTAATCAATCAAAGATTGGGAGAAATGCAATCTTAAAAATATTTTTGAGGGGTTGGAAATTGCTCTTGCTTAAGTTAACAGAAAATGAAATCGAAGAATGTATGTACTTTTTGTTCTTATTCCTGCTTCCCCTCTCCAAGGAATCCAGTACTCCTTGCTTTTGCACGTTAGGTGCTAAGTAACTATTTGCTGATTGGAAGTCAGCTGCAGCTCTTCTACTGAAGGTAGATTTTGTGCCTACAGTTACTTCCTTTTCCACCTTTTTTTGTCCCCACCAAAGTTCCCCTTGTGTTAATGTGTTGATCGCAGTTGTCCAAAATCAGTGATTGTGAAGACTCTGAGTGTCAAGGAATGAGAAGTTCAAAAAACTGAACACAAGTAAAAACTTTATCTTGTGTTTGGCCGGGCACGGTGGCTCGCACCTGTAATCCTAGCACTCTGGGAGGCCGAGGCAAGGTGATCGATTGAGGTCAGGAGTTCGAGACCAGCCTGAGCAAGAGTGAGACCGGTCTCCACTATAAATAGAAAGAAATTAATTGGCCAACTAATATATAGAGAGAAAAAAATGAGCCGGGCATGGTGGCGCATGCCTATAGTCCCAGCTACTCGGGAGGCTGAGGCAGGAGGATCGCTTGAGCCCAGGAGTTGGAGGTTGTTGTGAGCTAGGCTAACGCCATGGCACTCTAGCCTGGGCAACAAAGTGAGACTCTGTCTGAAAATAAAAACAAACAAAAAAAACTTTACCTTGTGTTTTATCTTAAATTTCTTCTGAGACTTCTATATTATTCCAGAATATATAATTTTATATATAATATAAAATATTGTTTAAATTTATTATCAAATATAATTGTCACTCTTAGAAAAATGTGTCAGGTTTAGTCTAGTTCCTCATGTACCTAGAAGTTCCCAATTTAAGAAGCATTATCTGAGAGGAGAGTGACCCAATAAATTAATTCATGTTTCAGTTTAAGTTTGAATGACTGGAAACATTATTATCGCCATGTTTTTCAAACATAGTCCTTAGGAAAACTATTTTGTAGAATATTAATAGATGTTTAATTGGGAAGAAAAAACTTGTCAAAAGAGTTGATTTTATTTAACCCAACATTTCTCAAGGACAAACAGGGTTTCTTTTAGCAATTAATATCATAATGTGCTTCCTATCTTCATGCATTTGCAATAGAGATGTAGGGTAGTTTGAGGTGTGTCGTGGCATTTTTTTTTTTTTTAAAGCAGTGTGTTCTTGGAACTTACATAACATAGAATTCACGTTGGAATTCATAGGATTAAAGTACTATCCTTGCAAAGAAGTTTACAAATTTACTTTTCCAAAGAGAAGTTTTACCAAGAAAGGCAATAATTTCTCATGACTGATTTTTAATGAGTATGGCAGTTGTGTTGGGAAGTTGATTTTTGGATGGGGAAATTTTCATATTATCAGATAAGCTTATCTCCTTATAAAAATATCCTTCCTAGGTAGTTTAGATACTTATAATGCCACGACTTGTAATTGGTTTATAGTCTTATTAAGTCAGTATAAAAGTAAAAATCATGTTTAGACTTTTGAAACTTGTTATATTCATTTTTCTTGAAATATATTTTCAGTTAGTCTTGATAAAGTAAAATTTAAAGAGATTATACAAATGAGTATACTCAAGTCATGACTTGAGTATACTCATTCTGATAATTAATGAATGAAAACAGTTTATAATACCTCTTAAGTAAAAGAAATAACTAGTTAAAATTTGATCATATGCTTTTTATCTTCACTCTATAGTAATGTTTAAACTCCTGTAAATTTAATCTATATCTGGACAGAACATTTTTAAGTTAGTCAAAACCAATTTTGTTTTTCTTTGTTTACCATCTATTCCTTCATTATAGTTATAATAAGCAGATAAAGTGTAGGGTTTTTTTTTTTCTTTTACTTTGTTTATGATTTAGAATGCTAGTGGCCGAAATAAGACTCTTAGCTTATGTTTATTTTTGCTCCAGAACTTTTTAAATAACTTAATATCTGTAAGAGTGGAGAGCACAATTTCTCCTTTTTAAGATTGAATCAGGGTACTCTCTTGTTACAGATAAGTATATTTAAGGATTGAGTAATTTGGGAAGTAATTGAGTGTAACTGCAGTGGCCTGTGGGGTCACTTATACCTTTCAGACTGTCTTAAGTGAGGTCTATACTACAAATTGGAAACTCTCCAGCAAACTTTTATGGGACTTAACCAGGCTGACTTTTTGTTGGTCATTTAAACAAAAATGAATTACAGATGGTTAACTGCAATTTAGTATGTAGCAAGCATCAGTTTTGTTGAACACCTGAAAATTCACAAGTGTACAATTTATAAAGCAAACTTATTTTCAGGAAAGTATGTTTGGGTATAGTCGAGTTGCCCAACTATAAAACTTCCAGACTTTTAAAATCGGCACATTTAAAAATACCAAAAATCCCATGAAAAACCAAACTTTAGTACATTGTGTTAATAAATATGATATATATGGTAAAGTTGTAATAATGCACATAAATTTGCTTTTCTCTTTTTTTAGGTATTGTAGTTAATGGCCTAGTAAATATTAGCATTTCTACTATCGAGAAACGTTATGAAATGAAGAGTTCACTGACTGGCCTGATATCATCAAGTTACGATATTTCATTCTGTTTGCTGTCTTTATTTGTATCATTCTTTGGTGAAAGAGGACACAAGCCAAGATGGCTTGCATTTGCATCCTTCATGATAGGACTGGGAGCACTTGTATTTTCATTGCCACAGTTTTTCAGTGGAGATTATCAATTGGGGTTCATTTTTGAAGGTAAGTTTCTGTTGTGTTTATGTTTGTTTTAGTCCAAAGAAGTAGTTTAAAACTAGGTTGTTAACTTTATATTGCAATTCACTTGTACAGTAGGGTAAAGGTTTAAATCTCTTCCACTGCTCACTGCTTCATTTATTATGTGAATTATGTGAGGTAGGGCATTACAGAGGCAGACTGTACATTATTCATTGCTTCAGTGGTTCACCCAAGTTTTTAATCTTTTGATTCTCATTCCCAATATTACAGACAATCCTTCTCAAAAAGAGATGACTGCTTTCCTTTGCAGGTGTTGTGACCTCATTGGAGTTCTGAGATCTGGAATTTTTCCCTTTGTGCTTTTATTTTCTGTGTTTACAGCTCTGGCCCCTGGACATGTTGATTCTTGGTTTGAGGCAAAGAGAGGTGACGTTTATAGAAGTGGGACATTTCCTAAGAAAAGTCTACTGTTGAAACTATCTCTACTTTTGGCTCTAGTTTAGAGACACAGAACTTCAGAGTGACCTACACTGTTGCTCTGCTGTTGCTGTGGTTAGATAAAGAACATTATTAATGTTCTTTATACATTATTCAAAGGCTCAGAAAGGAAATTTGATTATTTAACTTTTTTTACAAAGAATCATTTTTAATGGAAAAACAATTATGGTAGAGCCAGAGGCATGTGCTAATGAAAGTAGACCTTAACATTTTTATGTCCTTCCTGAGACTCTTAATAGCAAATATTGAAATAATTAGGAATAAAATCAGATGGTTACAAATTTGGAAGCTTTCAAGGGTTATGTAAATGGAGAAAAGCCTTCGGAGAGAAATGAGAATTGAAGCCTGCTACGCTATAGGAGTTATTTTTAAAATGTTAAGATTGTTATAGTTATGTGTTAACATTGAAAATTAATGTTTGCTATAGTTTGGATCTCTGTCCCCTCAAACCTCTCGTTGAAATTTGATCCCCAGTGTTGGAGGTGAGGGCATAATAGGAGGTGTTTGGGTGATGGCAGTAGATCTCTCATGAATACATTAATGCCCTCTGAGTGTAGGGTGGTGAGTGAGCTCTTAGTCTGTTAGTTCACAAGAGAGCTGATTGTTAACAAGAGCCTGGCACCTCCCCTCTTGCTCTCCTACTTCCTCTCTTACCATGTGATCTCTGCACATGCTGGCTCCCCTCCCACCATGAATAGAAGCAGCTGGGGTCCCTCACCAGAAGCAGATGCTGGTGCCATATTCTTATACAACTTGCAGAACTGAAATAAACCTGTTTTCTTGATAATTTACCCAGCCTCAAGTGTTTCCTTCATAGCAACACAAATGGACTAAGATAATATTAAAGTATTAATCTCTCCCAAGACCAGTTTTCCAATTCTAGAATGTTAACAAAAAGGAAAATAGTCTTCTATACCAAAGTATATATTATACAGCATGATTTTAGGAGTGCACTTTTTAGGTATGTAGACTTCATTTTAGAAGTAAAAAATAGAATATTCAAGCAGATGGATGAATAGAGGGTGTTTTTAAAAATGTGATGGAGTTTGGAATGGATAAGATAAGGAGAATATGTTATCAGTAGAAAAAGCACTTACACGTAGATTCTAGCATATTATCCAAGATTGAACAAGATTGCACAAGGCCAACTTGATGTATTTTCACTGGGAGTAGTTTTAGGAACAAGGCACATATTGCAGCATAGGCTATAGTATAACACCTTCGAAATCTAAATGATAAAGGAAAATCTAAATTTTAATCTGCCACACAAGAAAACATGACACTGATTCTATAATGGTAAGAATGTTACTGGTGTACAGCATTTAGTTGGTATAATCTTTGTGCTGCATCCAGGCCCTCACCCAGATGCCTTTCTTGCTCTTAAAGTAAACAAACCTTGCTCAAAAATCTATGACTCTCTAAACTAAAACATAAACACTCCTTCCAGTACAAGAGCCTGATCTGTCTTCGGCAATCTTCTCAGCTTCATTTCATGCCATGCACAGCTGGAGTTGCAGCCAATCTGAACAATTTATATTTCTCAAAGGGAAATGGCCACAAATTAAAGTGTGTGTGTGTGTGTGTGTGTGTGTGTATGTGCCCAGAGATGAAGCTAAGAAGATTTCTGAAGTTAGATCATAAACTTTTAGTACATTACTGTGCCATGCAGGTTTTCACTAAATTCTTGTCTCTTTACTCTAATTGACATTTTCCATTATTTTAGCAGATTAGATTTAGTAGATTATTAGATTAGATAGAGGAGTTGCCTGATCTGTAAAAGTTTTACTCTAAATTAAGACTCATAATTTAAATAATAGCTTATCTGTGGCAAATGAAAACAAAAACTCAGGTTGCTCTTAGGTTATTCTGCCATTCATACAACAGATATTTATTAATATGAACTATATACATGGTACTGAGATGACAGCAGTAAAATAGTTCCATGCCATCTGAATTTTATGTACTAGTAGGAAGAAATACGTAATTAATAAACAAATGAACATGATAAATAAAAACTGAGGTGTTCAGATGAATGCAGAAGGTAAATATGTATACCAGGGAAGGCTACTATGTTAATAATTAGATAAAGGAGCCTGAAAGATGCTTTCCAGGAGAAAAACATGATTAAGGGCCTTGGAGTAGAGAAGAGCTTAGCAGATTTTAGGAACTGTAAGTGTGGAGCAGCATCATCAAAGCAAGGGAGAATGTTTTGGAGAGGCAGGTAGATGCCGGGGAGGTATTTAGATTTTGCTTGAAGGGCAGTGCAAAGTTGTGGAAGAGTTTTACACAGGGAAGTTCATGATCTCATCTGTATTTTAAAATGGTTATTTTTGGCTTTTGTAGTTGTGAGAGACAAGAATAAATAGGAGGAAACAATAGGAGGTTTTTACTGTAGTTCATGTGAGAGATAAAGCTAGTTGAGACCGGGGTGTAGATCCAAAGATGACTGATTCTCAGTGTAGTTTAGAGGGAAAAGAGATAGGACTTTATTGGATTTATTGTGAAGGAGGAATGCATATTCATTCCTTGGTATTTGGGTGACCAACTGACGCCATCTTAACTAGGATGTGGAAGATTAGGTAGAACAGAATTGGAGGTAGAAATCAATAATTTGGGTTTGGAGTTTTTAAATAGGAACCCATGTTATATATCCAGTGTTGTGATATGTATCCTCAAACATATGTGTTTATGTAAATGTAAATCATTCATTAGGCTTGATTCCTGGAAGTGTAAACACTGAATTTAAAGGGCTTCATCATTCTAATGTTTGATAGATAATCGCACACTGACTTTAAGGAAGGAATATGCCAGTTACTCCCTCACTGTCAGTGTACGAAAATGCCTAGCTACTATTAATATTTTGAATTTTTGCATTTTTTTTTCTCAAAGTTTTTGTTAACAGAAATATCACTGTGAGGGGTGGGTGTGTGTAGGTATGTATAATATAACAAATACAGAATTTAAGACTGATATTGCAATACATATCTAAACAAGCCAGACATTTAGAAACCAGAAGGAATGTTAGAAATCATAAATCCCTCTTTTTTAAACAATGTAAAACCTTAGGGCAAGAGGTGAAGTGACTTCATAGTGATTTCATAGATGATTAACAAAAACTAAAACTAATCCTAATTTTTATGCTTTGTTTAATGTTTTTCAAATTTTTATGTTTAATATCCATAGTAGGCATTAACTATATTGAATGATTTCAATAATTTTATGAATTTAAACCATTTTTTTTCCCAATTTCAAGTAGTCTGGTAGTCTGGTTGCTGAAAACATCATAACTTGTGTGCTCAAGTAAACTCATCCACTTTTGCAAATATAGGAACCAACCCAAAATCTGAGTTATTTGTCTAACTTTAAGGAGAGTAGAGAAGTAAACTAGGGATTTAAGTGGGAAAAGGAAAACAAATTAGTTGAAAGATTCCTGTAAATAAATTAGAAGAAAGGGAATGCACAATCTTCCTAAGTAACATAACATAGAGCATAACATTAAGTAATCATTTTATTAATAGAAGTCTGCATGTAATTTAATCTGAAATGGACATTGAGGAAATTTACACACCTTTGTGTGCTTTTTTTTATTGCTCTTGTTTTTTGAACTTGAGGGAAACCAAAGTCAGGGTTCACTTTAGATGGGATAATCTCTGTAAGAGGAGATTAAAGTAATATAATATAGTTAATAAGTAGAAAAAAACAAAATATGAAATATGATAAGCATCTATAATTTCTCCAGGTGTGAGGATAACACAAAAGGAGGTTAAGAGTTAGCAAAAGATAGAAAGATGTGTTTAGAAACAGCTTGAATTTTTTATTGTTCTGTAAAAAATAAATTTAAATAGGTTTGTGAGAAAGGTGTTTTTAAGGAAAGCTTTTATGGAGACAAAGCATTAGAGGTGATTAACTTTGAATGGAGATTATCAAAGTGAGGTTTTGTTATTGGATTCAAAAAAAAGGAGGGAGTCTTAAAATATAAGAGAGACAAATACATACTTTCAAGGGCTGATTTTTGTATATGTTAACCTGAAAATAGAATAGTAGCATAAAACATTTTTCAAGTAAATCATATTTTACACTCACTTTTGAAATATTTTAACATAACAATAATATAAGAACATATTCTAATATAACTTTAAACTACTTAAAATGTAATAAATAAATAAATCTTTACCACATAACATTTTGTTTTCATCCAAGCACTTTTTAATTCCTTTTCATTAAAAGGAATTATTATTTTAATTATTTAATTATTATTTTAATTATTATTTTAATGTTGTTAAGCAAAATAATCTTTTGGTCTCTTTGAGAATTTGGGAGGGGGGTCATTATTAAATACTGAGGAATTATAGAAAAGTAATTACAAAATCCAGTAAAGCTCTTTTTATTTATTGACCAATACTTGCATAAGTTTTCCTAGGTATATTATTTCCTGGTTTGTCTTTTCCATTCCCTTTTCCTCAAAAAAAAAAAGGTAACCTTTAAAGATAAAAATTCTCATTAACTACAGCACTAAATTTCTAAGT